ACATAATTGTAATTGTGTTTTCGAGAGTGAGGAGCTAACTCATGTGTGTTGAAGTGCTGGTGAGCATAGCGATTGGTTTCAGTTGTGATGTGATTTACCAAGTCGTCATCCAGAAAAAATTTTAATCCATGAAAAGGGATGCATTTTATGTGTTATATCAATTTTGATCCCGAAACTATTAGCAAATGGAAATATTGGGGGTACAATGTCTCCGTACGTTCATGAGATGGGCGTGTCAGGCACCGCACTCGTGGTAGGTAAATGTTCATGATTACTGTCTTGTGGATCATTGTCTATCACTGTATTATTGTCACTATCAACTTCATCCAATTCAGGAATCATTATTTCATCGCCACTATCATCATCAGAATAAATCTCGTTCACAACATTTTCCAGCTGGTCTGTAGGAACACGAAGACACTTGCTTCAAGAAGCCATGGTGAAACTGAATGAATGTGAAATATTTTCTGACCTTTTCCTTCTCAGAGGGTTCTGACAGTAATATAGACCCCCACAAAGTTTACAAGGGTTCTTTACAAACATGCACAAGAACTATCATATATATGTCTTTGGTTGATGAGTGCCAAGAAAGCAAAGAAGGGAAGAGATTGTCAAAGCGTTAAAACACGCCAACGCCAGGGAACGGCTGGCATCGTCCGGGCGTTAAAACATGCCTGCGCCAGTCAGAGAGTTAATGTGGGTCTTCTAACTTTTCTACTATCTTCTGGCTTGCTTTCGAAGATTTCCTTGGTCATCCTTGTTTGTTCAATCCTAATATCATGTCCCAAATAGTGTAAACTTTTTCTTTTATATCCTCTGGCAGATTAGGTGTTTTACTTGATTCTTTCAGTTCTTTGTTAGCTTCAGTCTTCTCCTACTTTACTGCTTAGTTAAGCTAGTCAGTTGAAATGACTGTATTTATACAGGATTTGTCAGATTGCAAGAATTATGTGAGCTAGTAGACTCTTGATTGATTGGTTTGTTGATGACTGAACTGCTTCTGTTCAAATGTGCATTTTTTCATTTGAGAATCCACAGACTTAAAGAATCAGACTTACATGTAAGCTAACCTCAGTATTTTGCAGCCACCCCCAACACACACACAAAAGGTGGAATGATTGGACTACTGTGACTTAGTTGCTGGAACTGTAGTCATGACATTGAGCGATGGGGTCTATGCATTGTTTCCTGTGTCTGTAGTGCTGTTCAATTCATCTGAAATCCTACTTGTTACAGCAATACCAACAACCAGATCTGTCAAATGTGTACCTCTCCTACTCGTCGGATCGTGTTACCAACTCAATGCGACCAACACGGGCCAGCACCGCAAGAGGCAGGTCAGCTCAACCACATCGATCTGCTGCACCCAGACCTGCATCATACCGCAAGCCAAGTGACATGTCTTAGGTATGGTGCACAGATACAATAATGTCTAGTCCACTCGGACCAATGTAGTCCCAGGCAATTGTTATAGATCTCAGTAGGATTTTTGTCATTTATTTGAACTATTTGCATATTGCTGTATTGTACCACTTACGGCAGCTGTTATTATTTCTTTGAATCAATGTCACATCAGTGAAGCTCTTTTGGTACAATTTTCAAAGGAGCTGGAACAAATGTGAGCCCTTCTGTTGCACACTGGGCTGTGTGTATGCCAATCCTTGACTGACAGACAATTGCAACATTGATATACAATCAGTTTTTGAATCAAAATAAATAAAATCTAGTCAAAACAACATTGTAGCAAATGACTGTATCATTGAGATGTGAGTAGCATTCAGGAAACAACTGTGCATTCTTAGCATAAGATCATGCCAAGGTCATCAGGTGGCTAACTGAACTTTCTGAGTAAACTTTTCTTCTAAAAAGAAAGGTAGAGTGAGAAGTCACCAGATATTGGTGCATATGAAGGCACTGTATAAAATGTCTGAATCTCTCTAGTTGATCACCTGCATGGTTATGTCAGTGAATAATGCCCTGCTTGTTGGGCTCTCTGGGATGAAGTGCCCTGGGAACCCATTCAGAAGTTACTTTCTATCAGCTGTTGTAAAATTTGGATACAGGATAAAATCATGAGCATTTTCATGGTGAAATTAAAACTTTATATTGAGATAATAAACATGCATAGGGATAATGAAATACATCCATCTGCTGACAAAGATTATCATTGTTTTATATTGTTTTTGTCCCCTGCAGTATGGTACTTGTGTGAACTTATGCCCCACATTTTCCTTCCCTAACCTTGTTAAATCATTCACTTAATAGGTTGGTGTAAAAGTACATGCTGTGGACTTGTATTTGGATGATGATCAGTTCAAGTTTCAGCTGGGGCACCTGCTATCCTAACTGTAGTTCCCTTATTTTCCTCAGTCCCTCCAGACATATGCTGGGACAGTATCTTGATTAGGCCATGACAGGATCCTCATTGTTCATTTGTTATCCTGTCTTTCAGAGCTGTCTAGTCAAGCAGCTGATAGCATGATAAAGAAATCCGCAAAAAGAAATACTGAATGAGTCATGCTCACGGAATATTGTCAGTGTTTCACTGTGTGTGACTTAAAATGCTGTCATGGTGCTGCCGTATCTATAATCATTTTATGCTTCAGTAATCAGATGGTTATTGTAAACAAACTTGTTATGACAACTAAAGATATCATAATCCACTTAACTTTATTATCAGTGATCACATAGTGAAATGTCAAAACAAAGGTTTTACATTCTATCACATGGTGCTATCCTCTTATTCTGATGGCCTGAATCATAGGCATCCTTGAGTTTCTAGGGACAGATATTCTCCCTGGCAATGAATTAGTAAGTTGTGGACCAAACCGCCCTACCACTGCATTGACTTTGATATATTCTGAATCCCCTTCTAGTTAGCCCCCTAACAATACCACACTTCAGAGTGTAGTTGTCCCTGTGCTTAACTAATTAAGCACTACACCATGAAGGCATATGGGGGAGTGGATGTATAGAGCTACATTTTGACCTCAGCACTAGCTGCAGATGAGTGGTAACCTTCATGCCCCCAAACTGAGTCTAGTACTTAATGGGACATATAATTGGTCACCTGCTGCCATAAAATGAGTCCAAGGTGACAAAATTGCATGTAAGCTAAAGCCCTAAAGTCACATAGGCTGTGCTGGGCTCTCTCTGGTACCTGTCGTAAGTGGGTTTATTGATTAGTCTGAATTTGAAAAGGTGTTCTTTTAGGTGATACTGCCCTGTAAGTAGTCCTGTCACCAGTTTCAGCGGGTTCCTCTTTAATTAATTCTAATAGTCCTTTTTGTGGGGGAGGGGGGTTAAGGCCTGTTGTGAACTCCCACTGTTTTCTGTCATCCAGTCCATGACAGCCTTCTTGGCCACCCCTGCCAAGATGTGGCATACTGCTTCAGATCATACAAATGGACGTTCAAATCCCATTATTGCCAACTGATAAACAATTTCATTGCTTTCAATTCCCCTTTGATCAGCACCCATAGCAACCGAACTCAGAAGTGGCGGTTTATCGATATATTTAATAACCAGCTCCATAGGTTGTATAACGTCAAATAAAATTGAATTGTAAAGCGGCTCCTCCAGTTCAGTCTCAGGTGATTTCACGTGAGATTCATAGTGAACAAAGTGGCACTGGAGTTATGTTTTCCTTTGATTTTCTTTACTCCGCCATTGCTTCATACTCATGTCACTACTTCCTCAAGTGTGTGACATCCCTGACCAGGCAGCACATCCTTATTCTTTATAATGGGGGCTTCTTCAACTTAGCCATTTGGCTGGTGACGGTAAGGAAAAAGTGAACATTATAAAACCTTCAGAAAGGTAATATAAAATTTAATTCAGTTTACCTGTTTTAATTATGACAAATCTGTATCATGATTAAACTGTGTACTGTCACTGGTTATGTAAGCCATTTATGTTGTAATTAGTTTGTGTATATGCATTTTTTGTTATGTAATTTTTGAACTTATAAAATTTATGTGTATGACATTACCCATAAAGTGAAGTCTACTCATCAGCTTAAGTTTGTTGCCACCAGAGTTACAGCTGCAGGACATAGAGAGTTGCATTGTGGCCTAAGACAGATGAAGTATGTGGACATTACAAGATAATAGACAGCAAGGAGCATGATATATGCAGCGCACCTAAAATTGCTAGGGTAGTAATATCAAGGAGGCTGTAATGGGCTAGACATGTAACCTGGAGGAGGAGACATGTAATGCATGAAGAATTTTGGTTGGTAACACACTTGGAAGGAGGAGGTGTAGTTGGTAAAAATGTCATGACATATGAAGCCTGAAAGGTGGCAGGGAGTTATATATGTGGGGGTGAATGTAATGTCACAATAAACACAAGATCTGAACTAATAAGAGATGAATGAAAATATAATTTTCAGTATTTGTGCTTTCGATTGCTTTTAACGTTTCATAATACAAAGCCATGTACCAATAGATTTGCAGTTTTCACAGAAGTGAATATTATGACTGTGGTCTTCTGAGATGTGATGCTATATAGTCTAGTGGATGAGTCAGAGGAACCTGGCTTCCTCCAGCTCCATGGTAAGAGATATTCTGGAGATGAAGGCAGCAGTTTACTTCATAATGTTGGTAACCATGCACTGAACTATGTGGTGTCACATCCCAGAAGACCAGAGTCTTGGAGCTATGTAATATTTAGAAATTTGGGTTTCCACTTCTTGTGAAATCTCCAGTTTTAAACTCAAAGAGGAAAACCCTGTTACTTATTCTGGGAACCAAATGAAATCCATTCTGTGGACAGAATACCAAGTTCCTGACCATGAAGGCATCATGATTAAAGAAACTGCAAAAGTTTGCAATTGTCTCTGATAATGATAGAGGTTATGGGTAATTAGGCTACCATGACTTAATACACATATTCACACTTTTATGGCTGTATTTTGTAGTGTGGGATGCAAATGACAAAAGTTTTGTAAGAGCCATTTTACAGTCAGTGACTCATGCTGATCATCAGCAAAAGCAATCATCCTCATGGGTAATAAAACTGTAATTGGTGGTGTTTGGGATAATATTCTGCATTTATTCTCACCAGATGCTATTTGTAATTAATCTTTTCTAGACCACAGACCACAGGATACTAAAAAATAGGGAGACCAAGTACAATATGGTTAGCATTAAATGACATCTACAGATTGTTGGAATCTGTGAATGGAGAAAATGTTGGATGGGAACCTGGAGCATCACTGAGGAGGCTAAGGCCTGCACATGGCTGTAGTACCACAGGAGAGGATTATTTGTAATAATGGACATCAGAAGGCAATGCTGAAAACTTAAAATATGTTTTTCAATCACATTTATTTCAAATAGGAGTTAAATGTGTCCAGCATGAGCATTTTTAATGTCTACATTTGTTAAAAGTATTGCATATCTGACATATGATACAAAATATGTTGCTTATATCAATATTTATCATCTGCTGATGATATATGACATAATCTTCGAAAACCTTCCCTCACATAAATACACTGACATTTCCTATGCCTCTTAAGTAATAAGGTGATGAGATAAACATTATTTATCTTGGACACTGAATTTTAAAAAATTAAGAAACTGAATCTGTTTCCCTCATCAAATGTAAGGGAGGGAAGTTTCCAAAGTTCCTCTCAGTTTGGCATCTTGGCGTTACTGTAGTTTCAATCAAACTCCAAAACGTTGTGCCTGAAAAACTTAACAATAAACAATGTCTAAAACACTAGTCACTCTTATTATACCACACTATCAGCAAAAATATATACACTTAGCTGACCAGCTGCATACATTGTACATAGCATACAGAATAAAACTAAAGAAGATAAGCATCCACTGCATATTCCTGGCAGCAAAACCAGGCAGTTTACCTACTTAATGCAGATTTTATATAGCTTTTTGTACATAAATGAGTGTTAAGGCCCATCCATATGAGAATACTGGACCTTGTACTCATTCACACATGAACCAGTTAAGTAGCTTAAGCAGCAGGGAATCCGAAGTACTTGGAGAAAACCCGGCACATCGCCACTTTGTCCACCACAAATCCCATTTGGCCAGACCCGGGATCGAACCCGGGCCACCACAGTGGGAAGCCAGGAACTAACTGCTTGAGCTATGGTCCTCAGTATTTAATTTGGGGTTCTGATCTGGCACGTGGCTCATCACAGGAAGAGGGACTGAAGTTTTATGGTAGTATTTACAGGTTTATATCTTGTGATATGGCACAAAATCAATTCTCCATTCTACATGTCCTCTCATTTAGAGCAGGAGACTTTCACCTAACAGTTAACAAAAGATGGAGAAATGGGCCATATCTTTACATTCTGCTGCCACATTGTTGTTGATGTTTGGCTCATTATGCAAGTTAAAATCTTCTTGTACTGTCTTGCCAACCTTACTTCCTAGTACCTCAGGCTCCTCTATGCCCAATGCTTGGTAAAAAATTTTGGTTGAATCAGCTTCAGCAGGTGGGATATTTTGCAGAGATTTAGGACTCTCTGCCACAGGTAGTCTTGATTTCATGATTCCCAAGATCTGGTATAGGATGTTCACTGGATTCGGTTCATGCGCTACTGCTTCTGATTCACTTAATTCTGTTTCCGCACTGTGAACTATAAAAAAGATAAAGGGTTGTTACCAAAAGAACAGACTCAAATGTCTCACTCTGATGATCACACATGGTTACACAAGCAAGTAGTTACCTGTGGACTCTTTGCTGCTGGAAGAAGGAACCATTGAAAGGGCTTCCTGTGCATTTGTTTGCCCCAGTTCAGCTGCTGCAACAAACAACTGTCTTGCACGGTTGCAGTCCATAGGAAGTCCACCCCACCCATGAACATAGAAGACACCAAGGTTGTACATTGCTGTAGCATGGCCCCACTTTGAAGCCAGATCATAGTACTCTGCAGCCTATGGCATAACAAACACTTCATACAGTTGTATGGTTTGCCTACCAACTCACATAATCCTTGCCACTTTTCTCATAATGCAATATTCACTCATTCCTTGAAGCACAGTTCAGAAGTGAATGGACTGGAGTGGCAGTAACATCCTAAACTGATATTTGGTTCAAATCTCAGCTGGAACACCAGCAATTCTGACATGTTTTATGTGGTTTTTCTCAGTCTTTCTAGGTAAGTGCTGAGATAGTGCCTAGATTAGGCCATGACAGCTTCCTTCTAGATCCTTTCCAATTCACCGACCATAACCATTTGATTAGATACCGTAGATACTGACAGCACTGTAAAATAAATCACCAAAAGAAAAATGTTGTAACAGTGGTAAGAATTCTGGGATGTGGTGCTATAATCACACATATGAATCTCAGAAGGAAGGTATTTTACAGTTTCCTATAACAAAGGTCCCCCACACACATATGCACATGTTTGTACATACAAATAACTTTACAGCTGGTGAGAGTGAAATCTGAAATAGGATCAGAAAGGGTTAGAACAGGTCATCACAAGTTCAATCCTACTTCTAAATAATTCATAATTATCATGTCATCTTATACTAAATAATCTATGCAACTACTAAAGTGTTATAAATAAAATATAAAAATGCAACAAATCACATGTTTTAGCAAGATATAATGCCATCCATTTACAGTCTACAAGTAACTCCTGTAGAAGATTAGGACATTATTTTTGTCTGCAGTATCACTGTATACCAGTTTGAAATCCTGTGATGTGCCAGCTCCAGTCTCGTAGCACAGCCCCATGTTGAAGGCTGCAGGAGCATTGCCAAGCTGCACAGCCCTCTGGAAATACACATGTGCCTCCTTGTACTTGCCAAGCTGCATGCATGCCACTCCCAAACGGTTCTCAATGCCACTCATCACCGTGTTCTGTGCCTTAGTAAGGTCACCTGCCGCCTCGTCCAGAGCCTGCATCAGGTGAGAATTTCGCTGTTTGATGATCTCATGCCTAAACTTCTAAATATTTTGGGGCAGATGCTGATGCATTGAAATTCTAAGTTCTTCTAACTATGACCACTACTGCAGCCTGGACAGCTCAGTGAGTGAGGTAAGGACCTGTCAGCCAGATGACCAGGATTCAATTCCTGGCAAGGGCCACCAAGTTCCAGAGTGGTGGATGTGTCCTCTAGCCAGAGCATACTGAGGATCTTTCTGCAGGGGTAAACCAGTGAGCGTTTATGTCCATCTAGTGTCAATATTAAGAATGTGTAGAGTTTTATTTCCAAAAAAAAGAACTTTTAACATGTGGATGTGAAGTGTACCAGGGATGTTTGACAATAGGCAACATTTCCAGAATCTGCATTAACATGGCTAAGACACTGTAAGACACTGGGTTTGTCAACTGCACTGTCCAACAGCCTAGAAGGAGCAACTAAAAAATTTGAGGGAAGCTCTACAATAATCACGCTGTTGTAGCAGTGGTACTGGTAGTGACAGCGATCTTCATTATCACCATGTCATTATTGTTGTGTTTGTTACATTTAGCATTATAGTTACTTCATCCTATGACTACATACAGACATGCCATCAGTGTTCTAACAACAGCCAGCAGTTTTGGAATATAGGAGAGTATTTACACCATTGAGGAGCTGTGACAGCTCAGACACTATAGTGACTAGGCTACAGGCTGGATGACCAAGGAATCAAATTCTAGCAGGAAAAGGAGGTTTCTCTTCTCCACAGCATCCAGACTGACTTCAGGCCCACCCAGCCTCCTATCCTGTGAACACTGCCCCCCCCCCAAAGAGCAAAGTGGCAGGATGGAAGCTCACCATTAATCTCCATGTAAAGTCAAATGTAGAAATACACAGAGCTATATCTCCACTCCCCCCTACATCTTCATGAATGGTGCTTAATTAAACCATTACACAATTTGTTCATGTGTGAAACCTAGTACTGTTCAATTCAGTCCTGTTCTGTGATGTATTCAGTTTTGTTTAAACCTACCTCCTCTGCTGTGACTGGTCCAAATTTTGGTTCTGATGTGGTATCTTCAAAACCATCTGACACATCTGCTGAAATGGTTGAAGAAGATTGGAGTTGCACTGCCTGAGGTACAGGTGGTGATAATGGTGATGATACATGTTTTGCAACCCTCTTAGGCAATATACTGAGCGGCTGTGCAAGTACAATACGTGATAGTGCCCCAAATAGGCTTACATATTCTGTGTGACGAGGCAGTCTTGCCTGGCTCTTCAGTCGTTCAAGTTCTGGAGGCTGGGCACGTTGACGACGACATACAGGTTGGCACACATACCAACCAAGTATCATGACACCACTCTGTTTCATGCAATGACAAAATATTTCATTTTCACATTCTGTTTCGGATCCAAAGCAAAATATTTGTTTATCTTTAACAGGGCAATGCTGATGGTAAAACAGCAAAATTCTGTTCATTCATGAAACATCTTTCATGTCATAGTACGGTACTGTGCATGACACAAGACACTTTAACTGAAATTACCTATAGTAACAAGATAACATTTTAATATTTTGTAAATCTAATTTGACTTTACTCATAAACAGCTTAATTTACACCAAATAACGTGCAGATCAACTGCACTGTAATATGTACATATCTTTTATACAGAAAGAAATCGTAAATAAAACACATTTCCACTTACCCATCCAAGAGCACCAAGAAGCATGGGCTCTTGAATGCACCCATTATGTCTCCACTTCTCACCATGACGGTCCCCATTTTGTCGTTTCTTATCACTACATGGCCCATTCTTACATCTGCCACCCAGATCAGATGTTTCATTATCATATTTGTTTGTTGATACAATCCCAGGAATAAGCTTATTTTGAATAGCACCAATAGGACATTCTTGACCAGCTGCTTTATCTTTCTGTCTAAAACTGATTCTTCTTTCAATTGTTTCTTTGAATCCTCTACATACGTATTTCCACATGGTTTTTAGGGGCCGTTTCTAATGTTCTTTTGTATCTGTTTATATTTCCTTCTCGGTTTTCATCTTATTCTCTTCACTGATTTCCTGCGGCATCCCTCTCCGCGAAGATGGTAAATTCCTGTAAATTTACGTCTGTGCGTTACTCTAATCACATAGTTTGCTCAGTCTTTACGTTTATTCCTTTACACTGTAATTAATAAGTATGAAGGGAAATTGTAATATAACAAAAACTTACTTTTAAGCCGAATACGACCTTAACATGGCTAGACATACCCCAAACACAACTGCATCCACAAACATCCAGAAACGCCGTCTACTTCTCTACGTTCTCTACCGTTCTCTACTTCGTTCTGCTTCTAGCGCTTCTAGGACTGCCGTCCCAAGGTATCAGGCTCGCCAATATTACGATGGACTTCTAACTTTAATTTAGTCTTATAAATTAGCGCAAGTTGTATTAAAACGTGATTATATATCCTAAACTAACAGTCATTTATGCAATAAAAATAGAGTGTCGTTACGAAAATTTAAGCCCTTCGGTTCATGAGTTCCTCTTCTGTCCAGTTCTTAAAGTATTGGCTGCAATGCACCCTCGGATACAGTTCCCTCTTCTGATAAGCTTTTCCTTTACATGATGTGATTATCGGGCGGGAATTTTGTATGTGTTTCATGTGCTGTAGTAGTAGTCAGGACTCGATGTAGCTTCTGTGGCGACGTTGTATCACGTGGTAAAATTGATTAGTTAAGCTAATTATGACAGTGATAACAAAATAATTGAATCAAAACACGCAGAACAGCTAATGTCGTGCATACAAGGTGTGAATAAATAAAAATGAAGCTATTTTTATTTTGAAACATCACAAACAGGATTTAACACTGCAAGAGGATAAACAGATGGCGCAGTACTAGAAAGCAGTAGTATGACGATTGATTTACTTAGTTTTGAAACTTTGTGATTGTGTTAGTTATTATGGTTGTGATTATGGTGGTTAGTATCATGCCAATAGCACTTTCACATTATGGGGTGGACAGTTTTTGTCTCTAAAATATTATGTTATGCGTTTCGTTCATATTTAATATGACGTCATGTCAACTGATTAGGTTAAGTGACAATGAGCGAGAAATAACAGAGCAATTATCGGTAGTGGTTTAATAAAGACTTGTGAGGAATAGGTCTTGTCTTGTTTAAAAATAATATCCCCCAGATATTCTTGGTGGTACTGAGGATAACCACAAAGAAACTGAGTCAATGATGTCTAATCTTCCAGCCAGACTCAAAGCGAAAACTTCCTGACTATGAAACAGGAGTGCTAACAGCATGCAGCTACTTTCAGTCTGTTGTGTTCGTTCTTGTTTTACTGTACAGGCACTCCAAGATTTATGCAATGGTTTTGCTTTTGGGAGGGTGAGGAATAACTCAGAATTTTTGTTACAGCTATGGTCCATTATCCTTAATATACATTGAAAATTATTTAATTCAGTTGAATTTAATATCATTTATTTTTGCCGTTCACAAATTCTAGTATTGTTTGAGAAAAATTTAATTTAATATGAAACCAAAAAAATATTAATATGAAATCGTGTTAATGCAAAATTTGCACAAGTTGGGAATACCTGTATTTTGTTTATTTATTTATTTCGTCTTTATAGATCATTGTAACATGATATATGACAAGTCAGTTACTGTACATTGGCTGGTTACAATAAGAGAATAAAGTTACAATACTTACAATTGTTTACAATAGATTCCAGTAGATTACAATAGTTAAGATATCATATAGTGTGAGGTGGAATCCATATTAGGTCCCCTCCTATTGTACCTGTACTGGTGATAATGCTTATGGAGAATTTGATGGAATGAGGATTGGCAGGGGAAACCAAAGTACTCGGGGAAAACCTGCCCCAGCACCACTTTGTCCATCACAAATCCCACTTGACTAGACCACAGCGGTGGGAAGCCAGCAACTAACCGCTTAAGCTATGGCACGGCCTTTGAGATAATATTGGTGAATTTGGTGATGGCACTGATATAACATTTCACTGTAGACTCTACACTGCAACATCTCATTACATCTGTTCTCCTTTCCTGGTGCAGCTTCTTGGCATCTGCAATCTCTCCAGAGTAGCCCATTCAGGTACATCTCTGACTGTGTTATCTTGGTTGCTGGAAGAAAGAAAGGAAAACTGCGCAGTAGGGATTCCCAAAACTGATTATTTATTAATATTATATGATTATAATTGATTAGTGTTTGTTTCACATGAGAGAAACTTATCCACTTTATAAAAACAATGATCGAGTAGGTAAGTTTTCAAAGCGTTTTTGAACTTATATAGTACTGGTATTTCTTTAATATATCGTGGCAGATGATTTAGTAGTCGAAGTCCTACATTGTTAAAGTTGTTCTTGCATAGACTTGTATTACATGGGACGATGTGCAAGTCGTCTTTTTTCCTTGTGTTGTATGAATGTAATCCTGAGTTGGTTGTGAAATCATTCAAATTGGATTTTATGTATATTAGAATATCGTATATGTACAAAGATGGTAGAGGTAATGTATGTAATGATTTGAAAATTTGTTTACAACTATATAGTTGATTTTGGGACCTGTGTCATAGCTCTTATAGCTCTTTCTGTAATTTAAAGATCAATTTTGCATTTACCGAGTTGCCCCAAAATATCAGTCCGTATGATAACAAAGATTAGAAATGAGCATAATATAACATGCGGACAGTCTCTAGTCCAGTCACTATTCTAACTACCCTTAGGCCAAAACATACTTTACATAAGTTGTTCGCTAGCTTTTGTGTATGCATAGTCAATCTTAGATGCTTATCTAGCCAGACTTCCAGAAATTTTGAGTGATCTGTATAGTTGATAACAGTGTCATAAATCTTTATTGGAGGGCATTCAAGTTGTAGTTTTTGAAGATGATGAAAGGCTATT